AAAGAAAGAAAGAAAGAAAGAAAGAAAGAAAGAAAGAAAGAAAGAAAATGTTAAGAGCTAAAGTAGAATGATTTGTGCACGGTCGTGTACCTACTTCTCTTCCTTTGCTGGCATTTTCAGAGAAGCCTGCTTGGCATGATTTGTTCCAAAGTATGCAATGGCATTCACCAAGGAAGGCATGTCTGGGTCCCTCGGCAACTTAAGGAGTTCTTTGTGTAACCTCCCATTTTTACACTCCAGAATATCACCAGGATCCAAACAGGTTTTGTGCTCTTTCTTCGATAAATCCATTGTCTGTGGGTAGGAGGTGGGAGGGGAGGAAACCACTTATTTATAACTCTGGTATAATTGAATTGATGCAATTCTACAAAGGAACAGGCACAAGGTTATATATATATATATGTGTGTGTGTGTGTGAGAGAGAGAGAGAGAGAGAGAGAGAGGGAGAGATTCAGCTTTGTTCGGGTATTTTCCCACGTTATTATAGTTGTGCTTTTAAAGTTGTAGCGACGTTTCGGCAGAATCTGTCCACTATTGACCTCACCCCTTTCCTAAGAGGTCTGTAGGGGGTGTGCATAAGCGCACCAACGTGCCTACCGTCCCTGTCCTATTGTTTCTTTTATTTTTCTTATATGTACCAATTTCATGTCTTCATAACTATGTATATACTTATACCTATTATCTTGTAAGCGATTGACAAATCAAATAAATAAAATAAAATAAATAAATCTCATCTGCCATCATCAGGCTTGTGTATTGTGTACACACACACACATACGTTTGTGTGTGTGTGTGTATACCACTTGTAATGATACAGTGTTTATTGTAAATAATAATAGCAGTAGAATTGCCTCTAGAAGCGGCAAGCAAGACAAATAAGTACCTGGTAGAAAAGATAATAGCCCACAGAACACAAAAACAACATATTATACGTGCTCAATGAACCCTGCATTCAAGGCTGTATCCCTGTTCTTTAAAAAGCACTCCGTGTATTTGAATCAGTTGCCTTCGAGGCCTTAAAGCAGCACACACAAAAAGTTCGAAGGCTGCCAGAGCTGTAAATATTTTGATTAAATTGCAACCTCGAGTTATGCATTCACCAGAGGCAAATGCAGAACGGTGCTTTCAAAATTTCTCTGGAGCTAATGTTAACAAACGATGAAATAAATAGAAAAATGCAATAGAGTAGTGTTAAAGGATGGAAAAAAGGTTCTTTAAAAAAAAGAGCTGCCATCGTTCTATAAAAAAATAAAAAATAAAATCCTGCCATACTACTGATGAAATGAATGACAAAGTAGAATATTTTAAGAGACAAAGCGAGGACTTGAAAAAACAGAGTTAGATTTTGCCGGTTTCAACAGTTGGGATCAAAGCAACATTTTCTCTCTCGGTTAAAAATCAGTGAGACTTGAAAAGGCTTCATTTTGGCTGGTTTATGCATATGTTTCTCTGTCCCAGCATTAAAAAAAATGCATACATGTGTGGATAATGTGGTGGAACATCTGGGCCAGATGGTCCCACTTCTAGACTAAGCTCTCTATGTCTTTTTATGCTCAGTCTATATTTTTATAAATAAATTACTGTTCAAAACCTCCCTGAACCTCCCCTTATTCTCCATTATTGGAAATAAACCCAGGAAAAACTTGATGTTCAAAGCTATTCCTTCCTTGCAGAAATGGAGCAAGTATAACGTTTGCTGCCTTGAATTATTTACGAAAATAATAAAGGCAGGATATAAAACAAACAAACAAACAAAGCAGCTGAATGTTTGGAAGATGATGGAAAAAGTGAGAAAACAGCAAAGGCAAACAGTGGAAAAGCTATTATTATGGTGGGCTGCACAGTCAGCTAGATGTTTTTATTATTATAAAGAATAAATAATATATAACCTATATCATACATTAATATTATGTATTAGGAAGTTGTGGGTGCTTCATCACTGGAGGTTTTAAGAAGAGATTGGACAGTCATTTGTCAGAAATGGTATAGGGCAGTGGTGTCAAACTGGATTTCTTTAAGAGCCGGATCAGCATTGTAGTTCTCTGTGAGCTGGTGGTGGATGCCTCCTGCAGCACCCTGCTGGCCAAAACGGGGCATGGGGGTCCACACACGCCCCCCCCCCCCGCACCTTGGGTTTGTCCTCCATGGCCTCTTGCAGCACTTTCCTGGCTGAAAAAGGGCTGTGTGGCCCATTTTTGAGCTGAGTCCTTTTTTTCTTGTCTGTTGTCTCCAGGTGCACCACCGTCTCCACCTGTTGTCTCCAGGTGCACCACATCCACCATCCAAACTTGTTTTTGTCATTCTTATTGACAATTATTAAGTCTGGGATGTTATATGGCAAGTTTCTATTGGTCTGAATTCCAAAGCCCCCAGATCACTTTAATGTCTTCATTTTTGATCACATTCTCCATTTTATGGCCCCACCAATTCTTGCTTGCCGGCAAAGGGTATTTCTTGCACATCTTCCAATGAGCCATTGTTGCTATTTTCTCATGCTATTGTTCGTAGTCATTATTACTGTTGATCAGGATAATTATTATTAGTTCTTCCCCCCTTGATTTTTTATTAAATCCATCTTCAAATTCTTTTATCCATCCAACATTTTTATTATTGTCCTTTTGAGCTTCCCCATAGATCTTTCAAAACTGAATGGTTTCCTTTTTGTTTGGCTTTCCATTTTCACAATTTCTATTGCCATTTACACTTTGGGTAGAATCGCCTCTGGTCTGATTGAAATAACTGATTTTGCTTCAATTGGATGATTTGTGCCTTCTAGCATTCAATTTTCCCAGACACTGCTGTGATTTGTTGCTTTATGATTTCCAAAGCTTCTTTATTTTCCCCCCAGTTCTAAGTCAATGTTTGTTTTTTTAAATTAGGCTTGTGTTGATCCTAAAAGTTACTCAATTTTGGCTCTTTTTGTGTTCTTTAAATTATTTGCATTTGATCTTAATTTTTTTTTATCTTGGCCTCTTGTCTGATCTTTTACTTTGGATTGAATTTGATTTTGGTTTTCTAATTTCGATACCCAGGCCTTTTGTAATCACCACTGCTCTTCTTTAGGCAAATCGATTGGTTTGTTCAACAGATACTTGCACATGCCTTATTCACATCATTCATTGTTAAGTGCCAGGTCTTTGAGGGTAGTACATGCTGGCAGTCTTTGCTTTTCTACCACTGGTTCTGTAGAAGCCATAATTTATAGCTTAATTAGCGCCTATTGTTATCAATCAACCGAAAGAGAGCTGGAAGGGACCTTGGAGGTCTTGTAGTCCACCTCCTGCTCAAGCAGGAGACCCTATCCCATTTCAGACAACTGATTGTTCAAACTCTTCTTAAAAACATTCAGTGATGAAGCACCCACAACTTCTAAAGGCAAGTTGTTCCACTGATTAATTATTCTCACTGTTAGGAAGTTTCTCCTTAATTCCAGATTGTTTCTCTCCTTGATTAGTTTCCATCCATTGTTTCTTGTCCTGCCCTCTGGTGCTTTGGAAAATAAATTGACCCTTTCTCTTTGTGGCAACCTCTCAAATATTACTATCATGTCCCCGCTAATCCTTCTTTTCTCTACACTAGCTAAACCCAAATTCTGCAATCGTTCTTCATAAGTTTTTGTCTCCATCTTAGTTGCTCTCCTTTGCACTTTTTCCAAAGTCATTATTATTATTTATTTACTAACTGCCCAACTCCAATGGACTGTGATTGGCGTATAAAACTAGAAAAACATAAAAATAGCTAAAAACATCAAATCAGACAAACCACTTAGACTAAAATATAATAAACAGCAAAATAAACAAAACAAGGTCTCTAGACAAATAATAAACATGAAATCACATATTCTGGAATAATATAAAGTCCATATTTTTTATCATGCTGTACGTTTTTGCTTTTGACATCAACAGATCACATATTTTGGTTTCAAAGGTGTCAACAAGCAGCAGCTTTTCAGATGTCAATAAGTGTTAATCTCTTCAATGACCAAATGCCCTCAGCCATGTTTTATCCCCACCACATACCTGTTGTTCTGCTAACATTTTCTCTTTTATATCTAACTCTGTTTGTACCTGCTTTTCCAGCAGCGCAGCATTTTCCACGATAGTTGCTATAGTAATTTCCTTCTGATGAAGCTCCTCCGTCAAGCTAGAGTTTTCCATCCTCAGTCTCTTCACCTCGGAGCGATGGGATTGCTCTTCTCGAGAAAGTTCGCCCATCATCTGCAGCCAATGTGGCCCAAAAAGGAACAACGAGAGTTGGCTTTTCATAGGGCATCATTTTTCACCTGCTGGTGACTTTTTGTTGTGATTAGCCGGCAGCAGAGGGCTGAGGAGAGCGAGGACTTTGATGAAAGGCCAGGACCATCAGGGAGTGGACTGCTGCCTTCAGAGATTGTGGGGGCTGGCAGCAGTGATGAGGAGGTTCCCGAGGAGCCTGTGCCAAGTGCACATGCACGAAGGATTGCTCGGAGGAAAGAACAATTACAGCAGCACAGGCGACTTGGGAGTAAGGCTGCAAGGTAATGGCCCCTCCCTCAAGAGGATAAAAGCCAGGTTTGGAAAAGTGTTCTTTGCAGACAGCAAAGAAGCTCTGAAACTCAATTTGGAGAATCTTGTAAATTAGTTCTTATCTCTGGGTTTTTGGCAGCCTTGACAAATAACTTTTGTCAAGGCTCTTTCTTGTCGGAGCTAATTACTGGAAAGCAGCCTTCAGAACAGAATTTGTTATTAAACCTTAAAAGGTGGGGGCTGCTGCCTTTGTCTGTGTTTGTTCTTTAGGAACCCAGTCGGTTCAGAACACTTTTGGAGCAGACTATTCTTAAACATCAACCGTACAGTGATAACACACAGGAATTTAAAATGGCTTAATTCAGAAAAGCCAGCTTTGCTACTTGCTTTGGGCTTGTCTATGGGTTTTTTTATGTCGCTCCCAATGTCTACACTACAGGTGAAGAGATACCACCGTGTTTCTCACAAAATAAGGCCAAGCCTTATTTTTTTTTGACCCCTGAAAAAACGGCTAGGCTGTCTTTTCGGGGGGTTACTTAATCCCCCCCCCTTGCATCCTCGGGCGGGTGGGTGGAGACGGCTTGGATGTCGACCTCAGCGCTGGTGGGGCACTTCGTATCGGGAGACCTTCCGCCACCGTTGCTTTTCCTTCTCCCCGTGCTGCCAGCGTTTGGTGCAGCCACGCGCGGACAGCCAGAGCTCCTCCCTGCAACCGGAGCCCGGCGGAGACACTCGGCTTCAGGCGCTCCTGTCGCCGCCTTCCCTTCGCCTTCGCCAACGCCGAAGTCAACGCAGGCAGCACCATATCCGGGTATGCAACAAAAGTACTTCCTAACAGCAAGGTCCCCCCCGCAATTCCCCCCCATTTTGCATGTTTAATATAGGTCTTAATTTGGGGGGAGGGGCTTAATTTGATTTTATGCCTATAAAACATGCTGGGACTTCCTATTGGGGGAGGCCGTATTGTTGGAGAAACACGGTAAGCATAAAACGCGATTTGGAAGGAATTTTCCCTTGCCACCAATAGATTCAGGGTCCCAACATAAGGTATTTTATTAGAAGAAATAATTGGAATAAGAGAAGCAGGGGAAGGTTCTTGGCACTGTGTGCAATTAGCTCCTTTAGTACAGGGTGTCAAACTGGTGGCCCGCGGGCTGGATGCGTCACACGCAGGCCACGCCCACCCCAGCTCCGCAAATGGGAAAACTGGTGCGAAACGTCATGTGACGGCAATGTGACATGGCAAGTTTGACACCCGTGCTTTAGTACACTTACCACAGAGCAAATGGATTTGCAGTTGCATGTTGTTTTCCCACAGGAGTATGAAACGCCAGTGCTAGTGATTTTAAAGCAGGGATTCCCAACCTCGGGCAACGGAAGCGGTGTGCGGCGGCGTGCAAATAGAACTTCACACGCATACGTGCTTGCCCACCGCTCGTGCGGAACCATCCCCTCTCCCTCTTCCATCAGTCCGCAAAGCCAGAAAGGTTGAGGAACGCTGTTGTAAAAGCTTTCTTTAAAGAATTTTTTCCACCAGCCAAAACATGCTTTGAAGGGCTTAGAGGTCAGACGTTCCACTGGCTCAACGTCGCAAAATGTACGGCGTGTCATTGTATTACTCAAAATATTAAGTACTACGGTATTCTCCTCTTAGGAAGCCTGTACAGGTAGTCTTCAACTTATTATCACAATTGAGCCCAACATTTCCATTGTTAAGCGAGACAGTTGTTATATGAGTTTTGCCCATATAAAGGGCAAACGGTCTGTTTTATAGCTCTTGCCGTCTGTATTTATTTCTTCGACCTTCCTCTCTATCTACTTCACTCCACGTGGCCCAATGCCCAGCTTATCCTTCTGCTCTTATATTTTGGACCACCTCTCCTGTTGAACTTTACTCTTCTTGCTCCATCAACTGCGTTCAAAGCTTCCCTGCTCCCTCCCTTTTGTTTCTTTCAATGAGGAATCTCTTGGTTGATCTTCCTTGATGCTGGCTTTTAATCAGAGGTTGCAAGGCTAATTAGAGGTATTTCTCTCATGGGCCTTGCAAACTCTAATTAAAAGTCAGTATCGAGGAACTATCATAGAAACCACCAGATGTGGCTACCATGTTCATTCCAACAATTTCCAGCTAGAATGCTTCTCCGTTTGAGGCGGTTATTTGGCCTTAACTACATCATCCTCTTTTAACAACTCCATAATCCCTTGTGGGAATGGAGTCTGGGCAACTGAATGGAGCTGAGTGTTTACTGGCCGGATGCCCTCCCTGTCACCAATGTGGAGGTTTTTTTTCCAGCAGATATATTCTCAGTGTGCCCAGAGAGAGAAATACCTGTCTCTATCTAGGATCAAACTTGGCCTTAACTAAATAATGCTGGCTACGAGACATTTTGAAATATATCTTCAAAATAAATAAATAATAATACCTCGTTTAGCTCTTTTTGTAGATTGTCCTGCTGCTTTTCCAGAATAAGTATCTGAGTTTTCTTTATTTCCAGATCCTTGATGCATTGTGCATAAGCTGACTGAAGCCTATTAAAATATATAAAAATTTCAAATTTCCTCACCCAAAGCATTTGTGTTTACAGCAAAAATATTTAAATAAAATCAGAGAAGATATAGGAAATGTCTCTTGGGGAAGATCTTACTATTTTCAGTTTCTGAGCAAGTCAGAGGTTTTCTTCCCCCTCCTATAATAAATGTGATACATCAATTTTCTTCTCAAGGGCTCCCCCCCCCATGTATGCATATATCACAGGAATATACCGTATTTGCCGGCTATAAGATGACTTTTTTGCCCTGAAAAACATGCCTCCAAGTGGGGGGGGTCGTCTTATACGCCGGGAGGACTCCGACTCCCACTTCGAGCTTGAGTTGCAGCCGGGAGGGAGGCTGGGGGGGGAGCGGTGTGTGTGTGTGTGTGTGTGTGTGTGTGTGTGTGTGTGTGTGTGTG